AACCTACATAGAAAACACCGACCTTACCTAACCTTCTTAGTATGTTAAGATAAGCATCTTATTGCTTCGCAATTACAATTATTACTTAACCTATTATAGGTATAGGTTAAGTAATAATTGTAATTACGAAGCAATAAGATGCTTATCTTAACATACTAAGAAGGTTAGGTAAGGTCGGTGTTTTCTATGTAGCTTTTCAAGGTAAACTAAAATATTCACAATAAATTAGTATGTCACATATGCACTTATTTAACAAGTCAATATTGACTGTAAGAAAGTGAGAGAACAGGTTGACTAATAAGTGCATCGTTAGTGCATTTTTGGGGTCTGAAGCCATATTGACAAGAGCTAAGTATATTGAGTTTGGCTAGATAAGAGTAAAGCTGCTTGTAGATTAGCTTTTCTAATATTTTAGACAAGTTTAGCAGAATTGATATAGGTCTGAAGCTGTTAACATCAGTGAGATCACCACATTTGTGGACAGGGGTTACCCTTGCTTTTTTGTAGAATATCTGGAAAGGTTTGGAGTTCAAGTGACTTGTTGAAGAGCAATGCAAGGCAGGAGCTAAAAATCTGGAGTTTTTTTTGTAAATAAGAGTTTTTATCTCCTCAAGGGCACCAGACTTGGTTTTAAGGGAAAGGATTATGTCAGTAACATCAGTGAAATTAGTAGGCATGAGGTACAGAGACTGTGGATAGTTACCTGTAAGATAGTCCTGAATATTAGTACTGGAAGATGGAATATCATTTGCAAGGGATGACCCAATGGAAGAGAAGAACCTATTGAACTCAAGAGCAGTGTCAGAGGCTGAAAGCAGACCATTATTATTTGACAGGAGTATTGGTTTGTTATTTAAAATCTTCTTTGATCCCAATATTTGAGAAATTATGCTCCATGTTTTCTTAATATTGCCCTTTGTTTGGGTAAATTTATCTTCGTAGTATTTAATTTTGGCTCTCCTAATTATTTTAGATAGCAATGACAAGTAATTCTTTGAAAGTTTAGTTGTGACTTGTTTCGTTAGCATAGGAGAGTGGGTGTTATAAAGGCTGAGAGTTTTTTGAAGAAATGATTGCACTGCTAGGTTGATATCCCCTACGTTCTTTGGATGATAAGGATGATAATTATAGGATGATAAGGAGTCACTTATAATTATTGTATTAAGTTTGGAGACTTGTACACATTTCAGTGCAAGGAGCAAGGCAAATAGTTCGGTCTGAAGGGTAGAGGCCCAGTTGTTTATACGGACTCCCCACTCAAAGTACAAGCCATCGCCCATTGTCAGAACAACTGCACTTCCAGCTGCATCCCGTGGTGCGGTGTAGGGAACCGTCAGTGTATATTAATGACCTTCCAAATGCCTCCCAACACCTCAAACCAATTCTATTTGCTGACGACACAACCTTCATTTACTCCAGTCCTGACCCCCTTGCTCTAAATGCCACAGTAAATACTGAGCTAAATAAAGTCCATCTTTGGCTAACTGCCAACAAACTCACCCTTAACATTGACAAAACTTTCTATATTCTGTTTGGCAATAAATCCTCTAATCAAATAAATCTCAAAATAAACAATACCCAAATTTGTAACAAATTAGATGGCAAATTCCTTGGCATTCTCATTGACCACAAGCTGAATTTCCAGGGACACATTCTAAATATATCAAAAAAAGTTTCAAAAACTGTGGGCATTCTTTCTAAGATCAGATATTATGTGCCACGCCCTGCCCTGGTGACTCTCTATTACTCCCTTATCTATCCATATCTCAACTATGGTATTTGTGCTTGGGGCTCTACTACCCAAAATCACTTACGTCCTCTAATTACTCAACACAAAGCTGCTATTAGGACAATATCCAACTCTGGCCCCAGACATCACTCGGTACCCCTACTCAAATCTCTGAATATGTTAGACATTAAGTCACTGCACATTCTCTCATGTGTATTATACATATATAAAACGCTAAACTATAATGCCAATCCTGATCTCAAAAGCTTCATAGAAGGTTGTAACAGAACCCATGAGCACCACACCAGAAATAAATACAGTTTTGATATTCCTAGAGTACGACTTAATCAAACTAGAAATGCTCTACAAATCAAGGGACCCAGAATGTGGAATGACCTTCCCAACCATGTTAAAGACTGTACCTCTCTCAACCAGTTTAAGAAAAAAACGAAGCTATACCTAATAAATTCCCTGTAACCTACCTTACCCTTCTATTGTCAACCAATGTCTGTTTTTTTTTTTAAAGAGCGCTGTTTGTCGACATAATTGTATTTGTGCTGCTTTTTCATCTATGTTTTCATTTCTTGTTTTCATTCTACTCATTATGCTCAATTAGTATTAAGCTTGTCATTTAAGTTTATCATGCCCGAAACGCTTTGCGTAATAGTGGCTTTAGGCATTGTATGTACTAGCTCTACCTATAAGTCAACCAATCTTTGTAAAAATTTATTGTATGTATGTACCTTACCTAAATAAACATTTTATTTTATTTATTTATTTTATTTTATATGATCTGAGAGAGAGAGAGAGGCGCTACCATTTTCTAGTACGACAATTTTTGGCCTTAGGGAGAGTATACGTCAAACTGTGACGTTGTGTTAGGAGGACGGGTTGAACTGAATGCACTAAGCAGGATACAGGAAGCTGACAATCGTAAAAACGGTATTGTTGTATTTAAAGAACTCTGTTCAAAAGATATACTGAAGAGCCCATGTCGGTACTTGAAACCTGTTGAAATACGCAACAAGACTACGCTAAAGCCCAAAATGTGGAGTTAAGCCACATGAGCCAATATGAGAGTAGGTTAAAATATCTTAACTAAACAATTCTAACACTAGTGTGTGCTGTAAACAGCTTCGCCTCCACTAGGTCACTGGGTGCCGGGAGTTGGTCTGGGAACCCACCATCTCACTCAAGTAGTTTTCTCATTTGTAGTACCTACAACCTGCTTTCACTAGATTGTCACTTGTTGCTCCAGGCTAATGCCTCACAACCACACGAAAGTGGGAGTCCCTTTCTAAATGTGAAAGTTGGAGACGCTAATGTGTCAGAAGCGCAAGAACTCGTACTCTGACGCCGATAGACATAAACAAAGACAAAGATAAACAGATAGACAAAGGACATAAACATAAGCAAGAGCAACATTCAGGTGAGTAACGTTACCCACCATGTCTTACACTGTACACGAAGACCGCTGACAAGACCACCTTGGTGGTGGCTGATCATCCTTCACCTCGTGACCCGCTCGCTGGCCCCAGGACAGGTGATCTGGAGCCGGGTGCTGGCTCAGTGGCCCCCAGGCCGGGTGGTGGCTCAGTGGCCCCCAGGCCGGGTGCTGGCTCAGTGGCCCCCAGGCCGGGTGGTGGCTCAGTGGCACCCAGGCCGGGTGGTGGCTCAGTGGCCCCCAGGCCGGGTGGTGGCTCAGTGGCCCCCAGGCCGGGTGCTGGCTCAGTGGCCCCCAGGCCGGGTGGTGGCTCAGTGGCCCCCAGGCCGGGTGCTGGCTCAGTGGCCCCCAGGCCGGGTGCTGGCTCAGTGGCCCCCAGGCCGGGTGCTGGCTCAGTGGCCCCCAGGCCGGGTGGTGGCTCAGTGGCCCCCAAGGCTTGTTGTCAATACGCACACATTCATGGTACCAGTTATCAATATGCACATGCACGGGCAACCTACTTGTTGCCAATAGCTACATGTATAGACTACTTACCTGTTGCCAATACACACACACGTTCAGGTAACTTACCTGTTGCCAATACACACACACGTTCAGGTAACTTACCTGTTGCCAATACACACACACGTTCAGGTAACTTACCTGTTGCCAATACACACACACGTTCAGGTAACTTACCTGTTGCCAATACACACACACGTTCAGGTAACTTACCTGTTGCCAATATACACACACGTTCAGGTAACTTACCTGTTGCCAATATACACACACGTTCAGGTAACTTACCTGTTGCCAATATACACACACGTTCAGGTAACTTACCTGTTGCCAATATACACACACGTTCAGGTAACTTACCTGTTGCCAATATACACACACGTTCAGGTAACTTACCTGTTGCCAATATACACACACGTTCAGGTAACTTACCTGTTGCCAATACGAACACTCGTATATTGCCAATAAGCTTACGGGATAGTGCATGTGAAGTGAACACAATATTCAACTAATATATATATATATATATATATATATATATATATATATATATATATATATATATATATATATATATATATATATATATATATATATATATATATATATATATATATATATATATATATATATATATTATACATATAGAGACGAGGCAAAATAAGTGTGTCAGTGCATATTTTTGGGATAAATGAGCACATTTTTGCAGTCTGGCGCGAATTACTTAGGAAATGACGTCATTAGAAAGTCAGTATAGAGAGCGGGTCGACCCGAGCTAAACCTTCTGGAGGCGTGGACGAAGCCACCTGAGAAAGGCAACGAGAAACTGGAAGGTATAGTGAATGAGTGAAAGTTTTCAGTCACAGTGTGGGAACAGTTCTTGTACAGGAAGTTGGCGGGCACGATGGGTGGAATGTGAGGGACCGCAGGCGGTGTTGGCACACTGCAAGGTCAACAGGGAAAGCTGAGAGGGATTAGGGGAAAAAGTAGAAAAGCTAATCCGAGTAATTTTATAGATACTTTTGTTTTAATTAGGAAAATTAGGTATGCGCAGCAATGTGCAGTTGCAGCTGCAAGGGAACGAGGTAAGAATATAAATAAATATCCCAAAGATAGAGAGGTCCTACCCCAACCTTGGACAATGTTCATGCCTCGTGACCATGAACCCCACACGCTAATTACTTTAATATTGGCTGCTAAACCCTTTACGTTATTGGCATTAAGGTCACTTTGACATGTTTATCCCCGAAGGGATATATTAAGACTGGTTTTTGCGGAGGCAGTCAAGTATTATGCCAGGTTATCTTCAGTAAACAATTATCAACTTACCTGATGCTGGGTGGGAAGATCAGGTGCTTCATCCCGTACATAGGCCTGGTTATGAGGCATGATGCCCTAGGCTGCTGCTACACGTTCTCCTGCTGCCTCGCTTCCTCTCCCAGGTTCTTCGTCTAATCCTGTTTGCCTCGATTCTTACTGGTTACTGCTAGCCTAACTTTGCTTCCTTGTAATTCAGCAGTATATATTATATATATATCTCAATTTTTCTCTTAATTCTCCACTTCAGCCTATAGTAATGAATTTTCCTAGTCAATATTTTCCTGGAATCTAAATATGAAATTGTAGGCTATAGTTTCCGGGTTTCCACATGTGACCACAAGCACCAGGTTTAATTGTATGTGTTTTATTTATATATTTTAGGTCCTATGAAAACTGAGGCTTCCGTTACTTTCAGGAGGTACACACACAATTTTGACTTTAGGAAGCCAGTTTATAAGCATCTCAAAAATAAGTTTTGGTATACAAGTTTATTCAACAATATATATACTGTAGTTATAAATAAAATAAGCGCATAGCCCATCATTCTAACATAGTAGAGATGGAAACAAGCGTTTGATCACACGTACAAAAATGAACTGTTGCGGCCCCAAAATGTTCATTTTGTATTGATAAATGAGCCCAAATGACATGCTAAAAATTGATAAATTACTAAAGGATATAACCCGTCTAAGCAATCTTGGGCCTAATATAGTAATATATGGGTTATACTAGGCCTATGGATAGCAAAATTTGCTTTTAGCTTTTTCTAGTTCTCTAACATTTTTAGCACAAAACCTGAACATTGTTGGTTCAACGGTACATTTTTGTACCATGACCAAATAGCTGTTATAAATGCTATTAGAAGAATCAATATTGTTCTTTATATTACAAGAATTCGAGTACATAAAGTGAATAAGAAAAAGAAAATATATATATGAAATAATATATATTTATATTATAAATATATAAATAATATATATAATATATATTTTAAAATATATATATTTAAATGACTTGCGATCAGTCATTTAAATTTTTTAAGCCAGAATTATTTAAGAAATCTATATTTGGAAAAACTAAAATATAAATATATATATATATATATATATATATATATATATATATATATATATATATATATATATAAATATATATATATATATATATATATATATATATATATATATATATATATATATATATAACCTTACTAATAGTAAATATTAATCAATATTGAGCCAAAGTAACACTGGCTCTTAGGTACGTTAAAGATAGCCTAATATATTATTATATATAATTTGGAAAATATGGAAAAATAATATAATTTGAAATACGGTGCTGCTTAGCTAGTTAACGCTAAACATTTCCTAATTGTAAAAAAGCCTAACGTCAAGTGATCATTAGTTTACACCGGCTGATGTATAATTAATAAGACAGGCAACTCCAGAAAGCCTATTGATCTATCCAAGGCAGTACCTACTTATATAATTACATAAGTAATTAATAAGTAATGACCCTAACGTAATTAGTTGAGGTTGCATCCTGGGCGGGGTCAGTTATTCGGAAGGGGAGGGGAAGTGACCTCCATAAAAGCCAATCGTGTATGAATACACTCTGGATTCTTGTCCCCCAACACAATGAATTAAATTATATGAAATTCCACTCACTCATATTTGTGAAAGCTATGCTTGAAGAAGCCCAGCGCCCGTGAGACGAGTCGGTTGTCTGCCAATATGTTCACTAAATTTACAATATTGCCAAGCCAATATTTATTGGGGTGTTTTCTGAATCTAAACTTACCAAATTTGTGTTGTTTGGTGTTTATATACTTCACACCATATTAATATTGCCCTCTTGATATACGTTGTCATTCATTCGTATATTTCAATTATGTTACACATTGCACTCCGCCGTTTCAAAGCTTGCAAATTAAGCTTTCATCAAAAAGGAGGTCTACTACCCAGGAATATCTTTGTCCTCTATGTTTACACTGTCAACATAATTAATGTCCACTGAATACGTCGTCGAAGAACAACATAGATGTATTACTAGCACCTTGTTAGGCAACCATATTTGTTATATTTCCAACATTTATACATTCATTTTCCTGGTTCAATGTCTTTACTAATCTCTCGTATTCAGACCTGGCGAATTTCAACAATCAATGAACAGATATCTATGGCAACTATATATATTTACAGGGACAAAAGAAAACCATCGCATGTGTGAGCATACAACCGTATCTTTTCCGCCCATTTTATAATTCTGCAAATATCACCCTTAACTAAGGAAATAGTGCAGGAAAACCACATGAATTGCTGGAAGCTCTGGGTAAAGCTGAATCCCTTACATCAATTATATATTCACTAATTTCTCATGTCATTTATTTCAATGCACATCACTAGTTACAAATATTAAACACAATTATCATGTATTCTCTTACACAAATATCACTAAACATTTCACTGTAAGTAATAAATTCCTTTTCAAATTTAGAAGCTTCGTATATGTATCACTGGCACCGTACTTATTGCGTACACAAAACTTTCTCAGATTAAGAGTAGAGGAGGCGAGCAGCACGTGACTGCCTTTGACGACGGTCCAGCGAGTACTGCTTGGGAAAATTTCCCGGAGCTAACCCATCCCCTAGCCGCACGCCACCCATGCTGGGCTCCTCTGTTGTTCTTGTGTGGTGATGCACCCAGCGTGTTCTTGTGTGGTGACGCACCCAGCATGTTCTTGTGTGGTGATGCACCCAGCATGTTCTTGTGTGGTGACGCACCCAGCATGTTCTTGTGTGGTGATGCACCCAGCATGTTCTTGTGTGGTGACGCACCCAGCATGTTCTTGTGTGGTGACGCACCCAGCATGTTCTTGTGTGGTGATGCACCCAGCATGTTCTTGTGTGGTGACGCACCCAGCATGTTCTTGTGTGGTGACGCACCCAGCATGTTCTTGTGTGGTGACGCACCCAGCATGTTCTTGTGTGGTGACGCACCCAGCATGTTCTTGTGTGGTGATGCACCCAGCATGTTCTTGTGTGGTGACGCACCCAGCATGTTCTTGTGTGGTGACGCACCCAGCATGTTCTTGTGTGGTGACGCACCCAGCATGTTCTTGTGTGGTGATGCACCCAGTATGTTCTTGTGTGGTGACGCACCCAGCATGTTCTTGTGTGGTGACGCACCCAGCATGTTCTTGTGTAGTGACGCACCCAGCATGTTCTTGTGTGGTGACGCACCCAGCATGTTCTTGTGTGGTGACGCACCGAGCTTGTTCTTGTGTGGTGACGCACCCAGCTTGTTCTTGTGTGGTGACGCACCCAGCTTGTTCTTGTGTGGTGACGCACCCAGCATGTTCTTGTGTGGTAACGCACCCAGCTTGTTCTTGTGTGGTGACGCACCCAGCATGTTCTTGTGTGGTGATGCACCCAGCGTGTTCTTGTGTGGTGACGCACCCAGCGTGTTCTTGTGTGGTGACGCACCCAGCGTGTTCTTGTGTGGTGATGCACCCAGCGTGTTCTTGTGTGGTGATGCATCCAGCATGTTCTTGTGTGGTGACGCACCCAGCGTGTTCTTGTGTGGTGATGCACCCAGCATGTTCTTGTGTGGTGATGCACCCAGCATGTTCTTGTGTGGTGACGCACCCAGCGTGTTCTTGTGTGGTGACGCACCCAGCATGTTCTTGTGTGGTGACGCACCCAGCGTGTTCTTGTGTGGTGACGCAGAAGAGAGCACAAGCCCTCAGCTCAAGGCCTCACTCAGCCTTCCATGATAGCCACCATTGCTGCCTGCCATGGAACACTGCCTTGCGTGCGACCTTGCCACAACTGTAATTTTCAGCACTGTCATTTCTCTTACTCATCCGCTACATCCTGCTGCACCACGGGCATCTCTTACTCATCCGACAGCCTCATCCGCTACATCCTGCTGCACCACGGGCATCTCTTACTCATCCGAGAGCCTCATCCGCTACATATCCTGCTGTAGCGGATGAACCTTAGCCTGGTGCATCAAACACACTAACATATCCAGTACGATAACCACTTGACCATGAAAGACTGTACAAAAATATTTGAATCCTTCATGAGGAAGAGTTCTTTTGTTACATATGACTTGTGGTTTATGTAAGTGTGCCGTATATTTCAGACTCGCGTTTTCTTCAACAATGACTGGTTTGATGAAAACGAACAGTGATCTCTTGCTATGGCAGGTGCTGTCGGATGTTGGAAGTCTCACGACTTCCAACATTTTTGTACAGTCTAGCATGGTCAAGTGGTTACCATAATGGTAACCACTTGTTTCTGGAGTTTCAGAGCATGGTTTGCATTTAAGAACAGGGTTTTGTAAATGTAATTGACACAAGAGTATGTGTGGAGTGAGTTTATGTTTAGCATGTTTAGGGAGTTAAACAAGGGAGCTGAGTGTTGTCTGAAAGCAGAGTTTGTTATTATTCTGATAGCAGATTTTTGCTGGGTGATGATGGACTTGAGGTGGTTTGCAGTGGTAGAACCCCATGCACAGATACCATAATTAAGATAGATTAGTGCATAATATAGTGAGAGGAGAACAGACTTAAGTACGTAACATCTGATTTTAGAGAAGATACCAGCTGTTTTAGAGACTTTCTTAGTTATGTGTTGTTTGTGGGTACTGAAGCTGATGCGTTCAAGTGTCGCGTCAGACTAGAAATAAAAATAAATTTTGGAGAATTGATTTTTCAATTACCATCGACAGTGAAAAGAAACAGAAATATTGAGAAAATTCGTGTTAGAATTATTAATCTTACTCTTTCGGTCATATTTAATATATATATATTATATATACATATATATATATATATATATATATATATATATATATATATATATATATATATATATATATATATATATATATATATATATATATAATATATTATAAGATATAATTCTAACACGAATTTTCTCAATATTTCTTATGTTTCTTTTCACTGTCGATGGTAATTGAAAAATCAGTTCTCCAAAATTCATTTTTATTTCTAGTCTGATGCGACACTTGAACGTGTTTTGTAATAACTTATTACATTTCAAAGACTTTAGTTTACACACACACAACTATAACCTGCAAACACTAAACAGATTTCTTACTATGCTATAATTCAAACGGCTTTTCATTTTATATACCTGCATTTGGGTGAGGTGATATGTTACAACAGTTTTGGATGAGGTGAAAACAAACTTTCAACACAAGATAGAACACGAAATACTGGGTAAAGTTAAAGGGGAAGAATGGAAGTAAATGCAAAGGGCCTATTGGCCCATATTTCTTGATGCTTCTATATTGGTGTGGAGTCTTGAAGTGGGTAGAATATAATTGTGTATTAATTGGTTGTTGATTGCTGGTGTTAACTTCTTAATGTGTAGTGCCTCGCAGATATCAAGCCGCCTGCTATCGCTGTATTTATCGATGTTTTTCGTGTTTTTTGTTAAGACTTCTCTGGTGATGGTCTGGTTGTGGAAAGAGATTGTATGTTCCTTAATGAAGCCCTGTTGCTTATGCACCGTTAATCGCCTGGACAGAGATGTTGTTGTCTTGCCTATATACTGAGTTCTTTGAGGCTTACAGTCCCCAAGTGGGCATTTGAAGGCATAGACGACATTGGTCTCTTTCAAAGCGTTCTGCTTTGTGTCTGGAGAGTTTCTCATGAGTAGGTTGGCAGTTTTCTTGGTTTTATAGTAAATCGTCAATTGTATCTTCTGATTTTTGTCTGTAGGGATAACGTTTCTATTAACAATATCTTTCAGGACCCTTTCCTCCGTTTTATGAGCTGTGGAAAAGAAGTTCCTGTAAAATAGTCTAATAGGGGGTATAGGTGTTGTGTTAGTTGTCTCTTCAGAGG